CACCAGATGCAGCTTAATTGTCACTTGCCACTCACTGTTAGGGTTTCGATATGAGTCTGCAAGCAATTGATTTATTATGGTCTCCGTGCAGCCAAACCTCTCTGCTAATGATAATCTGTATTTGCAGCCATTCCCCAGTGCTAGCATCATCGCCTCAGCTCTACCTCAGATCATCAGGCATCAGATTCTTATAAAGAGTGTGCAACCTAGATCCCTCACATATGTAGTTTACAGGTAGGGTTCATGCTCCTATGAGAATCTAATGCTACTGCTGATCTGATGGGACGCAGAGCTCAGGCAGTGATGCAATGGGATTGATGGGGCGTGGCTGTAAATACAGATAAAGCTTCCCTCACTCACCCACCTACTGTTTACCTCCTGCTGTGTGGCCCAGTTCCTAACAGGTGGCCTGGGGGTTGGGGACCGCAGTTCTAGATGGTATCTTCATTGTACTTGGTTGGAACTCATAAATCTTCCAACTTTGTACAATCTCTGAGATAGATTCAGCTTATTTAATTTTTCTTTTCCTGATAATTGTTCTTTGCCAGCCTGATGAGGTCTTAATTATGTGTGTTTAGTTTAGTATCCTGCCAAAGACTCAAAGGATCTCCTATGCAAATTTCTGGAGCTTTTTTCTTGGGCAGCTCCCTCTTCTTTAATACACTGAGCTGCCTATTCCAGTCACCTTAAATACCCTCAACTTCGGTCTCTATCTTCACACCTGAGGAAGATGGCTGTCCTTTGTTTGGGTTATCACTTTCTGTGCTGATGTTCAGTAAACGCCTCCAGGCAGACACATTATAGTAAATGCTTTATGTATATTAACCTTATTTAAGCTTCATAGCAACTCTGTTAAAGCTACTTACTGATACTGTACTGTAGCTACCAGATTCAGGAAAGTACTTTGAAAAATTACATATAATGTATTTATTGTTCCAGAGACATTAAACAAATGTAACCCAAAGAATCTCTGTAAATACCAAAATAAATGAATCATTTAAATACCTTAGTACCCTAGAAAAGTGATATCAGTCTAGCCTGGGCAGCATAGTGAGACTCTTTTTTTTTTTTTTTTTAAGTGGTATCACTAATTAAATACATTTGTAGAAAGAAGCCTGACACATTTTAATCCATTTAATATTCTGCAGATGAAGGGTACTATGTGAATCTCAAACAGTAATAAATTCATGAATACCTGAAAACAACCCACTCTGAGAAAAAATCTCAAACACTGCTATTTAAATTTTAGTCAGAAATTAGCTCATGATATATGTAATTAATGTTGAAATATTTTTACTAATAAATTTGACATTTTTCACTAATACTTTGAAAAATAAGTTGAGTGGCTTTCCTATCAATGGCTGTACATACTTTCTTCAGTCATACCATTTGTCTTTGCAAAGTGAATCTTCCAGATGAGGCAAATAAGAAATTTTTTCATGGCAAAAAGGTAAACCAAAAGACTTCTAGTCTTATGGTCTTTTAGGCCAGTTAATTTTAGTCAATTGAGGAGTGTCTTGTAAGATATATGTTGACAGTAATAAATCCTAAAATGTATTAATGACTTTATTTTTGAACCATTTTCCTTATAATAGCACCTATCTCACTTTGTCCATTCAGATTTGCTGTCTTTAGTGGGGCATAAATGCAGTTGCATCTGATGTCCTTGGACTCTGTGACCATATCATATTAGTATAAGTTATATATGATATTCTTTACTCACTCATTCCCTTATTTATTTATTTATGTATTTATTTTTGAGATACAGTCTTGCTCTGTTGCCTGAATTAGAGTGCAGTGGCATCATCGTAGTGCCCTGCAACCTCAATCTCCTGGGCTAAAGTGATCCTCCTGCCTTAGCCCCCTGAGTAGCTAAGACTACAGGCGTGCCTGGCTAATTCTTCTATTTTTTTGTAGAGCTGAGGTCTGGCTCTTGCTCAGGCTATTCTTGAACTTCCTATCCTTAAGCAATCCTCCTGCCTCAGCCTCCCAAAGTGCCAGGATTATAGGCATGAGCTACCATACTTTCCTTATTTATTTATTCAAAAATATTTGTTAGTATCTACCTAGTGCCAAGTACTGTCCTAAATGCTTGGGATACATCAGTGAACAAAATGAGTAAAAATTATGGAGTTTATATTTTAGCAGGCATGGTTCAAACAATAAATATAATGAGTGAATAAGCAAGCATTCATTTTGGTTAGTAGATAGGGAAAAAATTCTATATCTGCTCGTTTAAACCATGCTAAGGAAAATTACCTAAAAAACTACTGATTTTTCAACCTGGCTTGGTTCTGTTGATTCCATTTTTAAATACTGGCTAAGAACAATAAAATCATGGGAAACATTCTCTCCAAAAACAGAGTTCAAATGATGCTATTAATTAAGAAAATGACCATATTGTGCTTCTATAAGAATTTCTTGCTTTATATAATTCATGTAATATTAATATTACTGTATAATGTAGTAATTTAATGCCTGGGATATTTTTAATAGTGGTTATAAAAATCTAAAGTATTTTAACAAAGTTTATGTATCTGTAAACTTTTATTACTATTCAAGTTGTATCTTTTGTTGGCTTTAAATATGATAGTTTTTGTTGTAATTCTAAGCAAAATGTTGGAGCACATCTTTTTGTTATTTGTTTTTTAAATTATTCTTCTTTAGACAGCTATCTTTGCTTTAGTTGTCTGTCTTTCTAAGTTACTTTTGTTATGAAGGGAAAGAAAAAAACATTTTTATATTTTATATACTGTTGGCCCTCCGTATCTGTGGTTTCCACATCCATGTGTTCAATGAACTATGGAACAAAAATATTTGGAAAAAAAATAATAAAAAATAGTAAAAATTTTAAAAAAGACAGTATAACAACTATTTACATAGCATTTACATTGTATTAGGTATTATAAGTAATCTAGAGATGATTTAAAATCAGAAGAATATGTGTAGGTTATGTGCAAATATTATGCCATTTTATATAAGGGACTTGAACATTTGTGGATTTTGGTATCTGCAGTGGTAGGCGGAGGGCAGGAGGGTTTTCCTGGAACTCAATCCCCTGTACACACTGAGGGACAACTTATATCTTAATAGCTTGGAATTAAGTAGGATATATTATAGGTTCAGCATATGGTATATAAATGGCATTTTACAGTGTTGCATATATTGTCACAAAAATATTATTAATTCAAATTTAATACTTACATCTTTGTTGATATACTAAGTTGAATCCATTTCTTTAGGATGTCAGAATGGATTCGTTTTTTTGTTTTTTTAAATCAGGAAGCCCTGAATGTCTGCATTCATTGTTTTTACATAAGATGTAAAGTAGACCTCATATGACTAGATCTTTTATCTGAAACATTGAATAAACCTTAATTATTCTTATGCTTTTCTTATGTTTTGGTGAATAGATAGACCTGAGATTAGAGGAGCCGAAATTTGAGAAAGCATTTTGAGAAAGGGACAGGACAAATAATGGAGTCAGTAAAAACAGTGATCTTGATAGATTTAAGAATAGTTAATAAAACAACAGACATAAAATTTTCATTTGGATTTTTGCTTTTTTATTTGGTTTCCAAATGGTTCTCAGTGAGTACAATTTTTTTCATTCTATGATTTAGCCAGTGTAAACCAATAACATCAAGGTAAATAGTATAGGAGTAAATGGGAAGGAACTAGAGTATTTCTAGGACACTCATTTGAAGAGTTTTTCTTCTTTCTGAGTACTTGGTCATTTAAAACGATTGAGATTTGAGGTTCAAAAGTTGAAAAATGGTGGCCTTGTGCTCTGATTTTTAAAGCCCCTTTTCCAACTTTTCTATCTAATCTTTTATAACTGTTGATTAGTAGTCAAATGCCCCTCATATTCAACTTATATACAGAAACTGTATCTTGTTTTTTTCTCTCTTCTCTTGTACAAGGAACTCTTTGCTTGGACATATGACTTCTGTAGCTCTGGAATTGTCAAATGGTTTTGAATTATATCTTTACCTACAAATTCTTTTTTTAGGGAGAAAATAGTTTTGTTTCCGAGGGAATTCTAAGCTTGATAATGGAGAAATGACAATTGAAACCCATAACCAAGCCTAGAAAAGCATGTGCATTTATTTGTAATTTAAGATGTACACTAACTATGATTTAACTCATATTAAAATTCTGTTGTAATTGTTGGTATTTTTAATAAATTTGAGGAAGGAATAGTCTAGCCTGATCCATTTGAACCTTTGCTTGTGATGGCTGGAATGGTTGCCAGCTGGTTAATGGCTATGATATTAGCTAATATGCATGCCAGTTTTAGAATTTATCCTTAAAGTGACAATTTGCCTGTCACTTGCAGAGTTAAGCGATATAATGCAGCTGAGCAATGAGAAGGAGGAGAATGGAGTCGAGAACTTAAAGGAATGAATTCATTCATACAGAGGACATGTTTCTGCTTGAGATAACACATTACCCCAAAATATGTAGTTGAAAATATTTTGGTTTTGATTGATTACTCAAAGATACAATCTTTTAAGCTCCCTGTATGAGCTATTGATTGCATAATAATGTAAGAAGGAAAAGTAGTGATAGTGCTTAAGAGAACTTTCAGGCTAATTAATCTGTTTTCTGGTAGTGCCCTAGTGTATGTGGTTGATTTAGTATGCAGACTTAAAGCTTTTACTTTTTGCTTGTTATTAGGCAGTTAGGTTATCTTCCAGCCTATTGGGCAGTCAACACCAATGTGGTTCCTTTAACTCCATGAATCTCAGTATATGCTATTTTACATATCTTAAATAACTTAAATACATTTCTTACTCTTTCCACAGCATGTAGAGTCCATGAAGCACAGGACAATAAAGCTTCCTACTCATATCACCAGAAGGATCTCTTTGAAAGATTCACCACAGGACTGTAAGAGAGAATCATTTGAAGCATCATGTGTTGAAACAACAGAAGTCTATTCACCTGTGCACTAACTAGAAACAGAGTTACAATGTTTTCAATTCTTTGAGCTCCAGGAATCCAGGGGAGTGAGTTGAAAATCTGAAAATGCGGCCATGGACTGGTTCCTGGCGTTGGATTATGCTCATTCTTTTTGCCTGGGGGACCTTGCTATTTTATATAGGTGGTCACTTGGTACGAGATAATGACCACCCTGATCACTCTAGCCGAGAACTGTCCAAGATTCTGGCAAAGCTTGAACGTTTAAAACAGCAGAATGAAGACTTGAGGCGAATGGCTGAATCTCTCCGGTAGGTTTTGAAATACTGAAGGGAGAATGAGGAAATATTATACTTTGTTTTTAGGAATAGAGCTTCATTCAACTACTGAAAATAGTTAATAAATTCTATAAACTGCTGTCTTTGCAAAAATTTAAATATCCTACAGCATTTTTCTATCTGTGTATTAATACATTAATTGCCACAAGAGTTGTGTTTAACTCACTTTAGTTTTGACCCTGGGGCTGCATGAAACATACATAAAATCTTACATGTTGATGTTCTTATTGTTACAATTAATATTGACAAATTCATTCTAAAAACATGGATTAAATGAATAGAAGTCAATAAATTTCGTTTTTCTATTTATGTTTTCCTTTAAATTACACTCGAAATTTTTATTCTATTTTTGTAATAAAATAATGTGGCCCCAAGGAAAAGTTTCTGGTTTTTTTTTTGTGTGTGGCAGTCAATGTGTTAAATATAGAGAATTTCTCCATAGTGGCATTCTTATTTTGCATATGAATTTAAATATAGAAAGGCTATGCCATTTGATTTATGTACTTATATTTTACTTACAATTATCTTATTCATTTTAACAATTTTGATGTATTAAATATTAAATCCAAATTTTACATGATTTAAATTAGTGTATAGTAAAAATTTTATGGTCTGAACTATAACAAAGACATAATTGGGAGGCTGAGTTAGTCTAACTATAACTTATTGAAATGAAGAAACAAAAATTCATCATTAAATAAAACAAATGGATATGGAATGTGGAGAATTACTATTGTTGCTACTTCTAGTCTATAAAAAAATATGACATATATCTGTTAGAAGGCATCAACTGTTTGAAAAACCAAAGTCCCTTATTTTCAGGGAGCAAGTCAACATAGTATTACATAGATGATCTCTGTATTTTTTTTCAAAGTTATTGAGTTTGAAAGTTACCTAGTATCTTCTAATTCCTCTATATTTGAAGATGATCATATATTTAGTGCTTGCTGTCTCTCAAGATAGAGGTTAAATCTTGAAATGAAGATTTGTGAATCATTACTCGAGAGCTGGTAATTGCCTCTAAGGGAAATGGTGTAGAGATAAATAGCTGAAAGTTCATTTCTTTTTGAAAAACAAATAAATTGAGTAGTGGAAAGTGGATACATCCAGTTGTGGGAAGAATAGCAGGAGACAGATGTGTTACAGAAACTGAGGAGCATTCTGTGAAGGAAGAAAATAGTTGGCAGTGTTATGTACTCTTGAGACCATAGTGAGGATGTCTATGGTATGGTCTTCCTATTTCCCACCACCACTGCCCTCCACTTTTTCTTTAGAACTCAGATTTTTCTCTTTATCTAGTTCCATAACTTTTTTCTTCACTACAATATTATTTTGGGTCTTTTTATATCCTATGAAAGACAATGCTAGGTGTTAAGACAAAAATGAATGAAACATTATCCCTGTCACTTATAGTAGTAGTACCAGTCAGTAAGATACTTAGTGGTCAGGGATTGGAAAATGGACAACTTCTTGAATTTGTGTATCATTTTATTTCCTACTTGGGGGTAATCAGGGAGGGTCATGGAGGAGGTGATCTTTCAATAGAGTCTTGTTCATTTATTTTTTATGGGGACCAAAGATTGATGATTTAAAATAGCTATCATTTATTGCCATGTGCCAGGTATTGTGCCAAGGACTTTGCATGGATCATCTCATTGAATTTCACAGTATCTTTATGAGATGCTAGTACCATTTTCATAACCATTTTTCAGATGAAGGATCATAGGGATGTTAAGTAGTTTAATTTGCCCAACTTTTCACAAGTGATAATGTGACTCTAACACCTGAGCTCTGATGAACTGTATTGCCTCCCTGAGAAAACGGAGATACATCAATTACCAAAAAATCTCAACTCAATGTTCCTGAATACCTGCTGCTCTAGTTGATTTTGGAGTTTGCTTTGATTGTAGTAAAATCTCTCTACATCATGGTGATTTTGCTTCTAAAAGATTTTACCTCTTAACAATTTAGGCTCATAAATAAATGCTCACTTTTCTCCTAGTTCGATCTTCAATACTGACACTTCATTTTTAAATTTCTGACTGCCAAATGTCTTGTTTTGGTCACATGAAGGGAAAGCTTACCTTTAATATGGGTTGTTCCTTCTGAAAAATAATCTTTGGGTGTCTTAACTCATTTTCTTTATATTTTTATATGTTGAAATTAAATTCTCAACTACTACATTTAAATGTAGAGACAGCTTCTAAGAACTGATTGACTTAATAAGTTATGCTGTAATACCATGTAAGTACAATGTACAATGTAAAAACACATTGACTAAGCAAATGAGCTCATTTTTATCTCAAGGCATTAAATTTTAGGAAAATAAATAAACAGTTATTTTTCCCCCATTAGGGAAGAAAACCTCCTCAGGCCCTTCTATTGACTTTACTGGTGGGACCATTTGTGTTTCATCCAAAGGGATTTCATTTTAGAGCCCCTGGCATGAAAGGAAAAGCAGTAGAGGTGCTGCTAGCATTGGGATTTTTTTCCTTATTGTAATTTAACTAATATTTTGTACTCAGTATATTATATTTTTTATTTTAACTTTATCATTTTATTTTTTGAGACCAGGTCTTGCTCTGTTGCCTGGGCTAGAGTGCAGTGGCATCATCATAGATCACTGTAACTTCAAACTCCTGGGCTCAAGCAATCCTGCTGCCTCAGCCTCCCGAGTAGCTGACTATAGGCACATGCCACCATGCCCAGCTAATTTTTCTATTATTTATAGAGATGGGGTCTTGCTGTCTTGTCCAAGCTATCTTGAACTCCTGACCCCAAGCAATCCTCACATCTCGTCCTCCCAAAATGCTGGGATTACAAGCATGAGCCACCATGCCTGGCCTTATAGTCAATTTGCTATGTCTTTTTCTTATAAGAAAATATGTTCGTAAGTAAGACCATAAAGGGTTAATTCAGATGTCTGTAAAACTAGGTCATTTATTTCAGATAAGGCATATGGATTGGAGTTGGAAAGAAACCCAGAAGCCTGAAACCACAATTTTTTAGAATCAGAACAGTAATTTTTTTGGCAGGGTGAGGACCATGAACCTCACTTTTGCTCTATTACTACCAAATATCCTCTGAGCTCTTGGGTTGATTTTATTTCCTAAATCATGGATAAGTTCATGTAAATAATAATGATAATTAAAACGTATATTGAGCATTTACTATGGGGGTCTTGCTGTGTTGTCTAGGCTGGTCTCCAAGACCTGGACACAACTGATTCTCCCTATTCAGCCTCCCAAGTAACTGGGACTCCAGGCACATGCCACTGTGCTGGCTCTAAGTGCTTTAAATGTATTATCTCATTTAGTCCTTATAAGTCTTTAAGATAGGAATTATTACTCCAATTTTATAGATTAGAAAATTATGAGTAATTAGGACAATAATTTTAAAAGCAGTTAACCAAACTTCCAGCTAAAATTTATGAATTTTCGTTGATAATGTTACAAATTTAGTAAAATAAATTTAAAATTATTTCTGAGGGATGCAAATGTACAAGCATCACATATGTGAGGGGAGGTTGCTCTGTGTGTATAAATCTGACTTACTGATAAATAATTTCCATGATACACTCTTCTTAGCATAGAAGTCTATTAGTTTTGGCAAATACAGTTGTGTAACCACCACCATGATTGAATTACAAAAGAATTTTACCTCTTCCCAAAGTTCTGTTCTGCCCCCTTATAGTCAAATTCTTTCCCCTTCTCCTGACCCTGATACCTACTGATACATGTTTTCTGTCCTACTTTTTTCCTGTCCCAGAATGTCATATAAATGGAATCCTGTAGTATGTAGCCTTTTGATTCTGGCTTTTTAAATTTAGCAAAATGTTTTTGATATTCATCAATGTTATTGTGTGTATTGGTACTTTAGTCTTTTTTATTGCTGAGTGGTATTTTTATTCCTTTTTAATGTTGAGTAGTATATCATTGTATAGGTGTATCTTAGTCTCTTTAGTGTTACTATTACAGAATTCCTGAGACTGGATAATTTATAGAGAAAAGAGGTTTATTTGGCTCATGATTCTGGTGGCTGAAAAGTCCAAGATTAGGCAGCTGTATCTGGTGTGGGTCTCAGGGTGCTTCAACTTATGGTGGAAATCAGAGGGGGAATGGGTATGTGCAAAGAGATAGAACTAATCTATTCCCATGAGAATGAGAACTCACTCACCCCCGAGGGAGGACATTAATTTATTCATGAGGAATTTGCCCCCATGACCCAAACACCTCCCATTAGGTCCCACCTCCCAGCACTGCCATATTGGGGATCAAATTTTAACATGAGTTTTTATGGGGACAAACCACATCCAAACCATAGCGAAATCCATTTACCAATTCAAGAACACTGGATTGTTTCCATTTTGGGGCAGTTATGAACAAAGCCACTATTTAACCTTTGCCCTATAAGTTTTTGTGTCAACATAAGTTTTTATTTCTCTTGGATAAATACCAATATAACTTGCTATTGTGAGTTATTTTTGTTTTAGCTATTCTAATAAATATGTAGTGTTATCTTATTGAGGTTTTAACTTGCATTTCTATAATTAATGATGTTCAGCATTTTTTTAAAGTGTTTATTTGACATTCATGTGTCTTCTTTGGTGAAGTGTTTATTCATAT